CAGGAATTATGTGCTTTTTTTCTGAAGAGCTACTGGCTTTTCCTGCATTTAGTGACAATACTTTTTCATTCACTTGGTTTGCTAAGTGGAAGCTTCTAATTGTGAACAAACATATGAAAGTTTTCATTAATATTTAAATTGCAATGTGTTCGTTATATTCTGAATTTATGTATGCAATTTCTTCCTTGTAAGTAAAGCCAGTCAGGTTTAAAATATACCTTTAGTATGATGCAGAAGGAGAAGGCTGTTTTTAACTGCCATGATCTACAGATTCCTCAGTTGAGGTAGTATTTTACAAACTTTTTGCTTGAGTACCTTCCTCTGGAGACAGCCTGGATTTCTGAGATGGTGCTGTTGGAGACTGAGAGACTTGATGTTACAAAGCTGAGGCAGACAAGTTTCGAAGCTGTCTTCAAAGCTACGTGGTGGAACTGTGGTGTATAAGGATGTTCCTGGAGGACATTGGAACAGTTGTTTAAAAGAAGGAAATAATAGCTGGTTGAGCCTGGTTTCCTTTGTTAGAGTTTTATTTTGTATTTTGTTGCTTTGGAGATAGAAAAGCAGGTTCAGCATTTGGCTGACTGTGAAAGTACGTGGTAGGAACTTTCTTCAGACTCACTTTGTCAGCTGCATCAGTCAGGCAATATACTGCAGGCTGTGCCAGGCTACTCTAGCAGCACATCTCAAAGAAAAGATAAGATTTGAAAATCCTAGAATGGTCATAGAAATCAGTAAATGTGTGGAGGTGGAAGATAACATGATGCAAAACCCTTTTCCAGTGGATTTTAGTTGTGTGAGATTGTGTGCATCAGTGCTTATGTTCTTCACACTGTATTGTCTCCCAATTTTCTCAAGGAAGGTATCTCAAGCAATTGTCTGAATGCTGTTTTGTTGGCACAGGCAGAAGTGTATATACATGGGGAAGTTTTGACTAGCAAGAGGAAAAGCTGGCAACAAATAGAAAATTCTATCTTCTGGTGTTTATATAACATATATAAAGACTGAGCTATGTTTTGCAAATCTGGGCTGGGTTTGGTACCTACACAACTTGATTATGCAATATATTGCTGTTTGGATCTCTCTGAAGTCATTGCATCTTGTTGAGTGAGTACAAAGCCACATCTGCACTAGGAGTGCCTGGGCAAGGTGGGTGCAATAGCGGGAACATTCTCTTCTGAGAGAGGTCAAAATTTGACTTTGAAATATTGTACATAGAAAATATAACTTGTGTTTATGTGTTCTCAGCTGTTCTAATTTGCTGAACTGACTGAGCAGGCACTTTAAAAAAAGTGGGGGAACTACATCTGGTGGGGAAATGTTTGGTTCAATGAAAACTGAGTATCACTCAGGTGTGGAAACTAGGGAGTAAGTAACCTCAGTTACCTTCTTCATCAGCTCCCTTCCAAGGCAAAGGCAACTAAAACCTACCATTTGAATTGTTATGTTTGTTCACAATAACCAAAGATATTTAGAAATAATTCTAGAGTGATGCAGGATAGGTCTTCAGAACAAGTTTTCAGTGCTTCAGAGGAAACATTTAAGATACATGCTTATATTCAGGGTATTTAGTCTGATGGAAATATTTTTTTTTTATGTATGATGTGAACTTTTCATATGTGAAGAAAATCAAAAGTGTTTGTATTCAACAAGCTGCAAAATCTCCAACCTCTGTCCATGATGCAGCTAGTGACATTTGTTCCTGTAATTCCAAAATTGGTTTAAACATTTCATGATGTCTAAGAACTATAAATATTTGCTGCAAATGCACTTCTAGTTTCATCCTGATGTGCTAGAGCTTGTTGTTCTGAAATAGCAAACTTGTTCTGAATTGCAACAACTTCTTGTTCCAAATTAACCTTTTTCTCTCTGAGGATACCTGTATTTATTACTTTTTAAAAAGTTGCTACTAACTGGAATACTTCTTAGAGCTTTCTGATTGCACACAAATACACCTAAATGCCTCATTCAATACATTGTATGCTGAAAAACTGCAGTTTGATTAACAGATCACATCACCCAAAAATAGGATGAAGACTTAATTCCTTCATAGCTTTTCCATTTTCTTCTGTGTGGGGAACAGTCGTTTCACTTTTTTTCATTCTGTTTGGTTTTTTTGTTGGTGGTGCTGTTGTGTTTGGTTTGTTGATTGGTTTGGTTTTTGTTTTGGTTTTGTGTGTGTGTGACTTGTTACAGGGCTCATGTTAAGACACCTGAGGGTCAGAGCCATGAGTTATCATAGAGTAATTAGCTCTTGGGCATCAACTGCGTGTGTACAGGCTTTTAGTGCACTAAAAAAGAGTTATGTTGCAGGATATGTTAACTCAAACTCCTTCCCATTCACTGCAAACTGATAGCATGCAAATTAACAAAACTTGTATATGACCTAGTAACTAATTTTAGTGCCCAGGGTAACATTATCATGTATTCAAACATGTAGATAGCATGTTTATTAACACAATATGAAACTCCATCTAAAATTTGTTATATTCTCTGTGTGTTCCAGAATTTTGTTTCTAAATGCTCCAGTGCTGTGGCTTTTATCAGTTAATTTTGAAAACTTGTTCCCTTCAAAAATGCCAGCTGAGGAAAAATAGATTGTGGAAAAAATTATTAACTATGGTGCTGCTTTTAGTAACAGATATGTTGGATTTTGAATACTGGAAAATGTAAAATCAGTACTTTTCACCTTGATAGATTATTTTTTGATGAACTGCCTTTTTGGTAAGATAATAATGGAGAGAAATAAATACTAACTTAATGCTTGTACAAGTTGTATGATGGTAAACGTCTTAGGGACAGAATTTTCAAATTTGGAAAGGCATTTTACTTCTAATGGGTACATATTGCATTGTATTTCTGTTCACTGTATTTCTTGGGCCACAAGGTCCTTAGAAAAAATGAAAAAAGTAGACAAAAAAAGGAAGTATACGGATTCATTAATTGGGAAAATACCACTGTGTTGATGCACTGAAACACCTGACACTCCAAAGCAAAGTCATGACTGAGACAATCCGTTGTGTATTCATCATGTTGTTGCACAGCTCCTGATTGGTATTGTCTTGGAGGGGTCTTAATCAGGTTTTGAGAGTTTGTAGTTGTGGATTCCTCAGTCTGTTCCAGTCTGTTCCTGGCTTTGTTCAGTCATTTTAGCTTCATAGTCATCACTGTGTGTATCTGGAACCTCCAGTCCCGTTTTGAGGATGCCACTTCAATGTTGTAATAATCTTAACTCCATGAATTGACAGGAGTTATGACACTTCTCTGCTCATAAATTTCTCACAATTGGAATCTTGGATGGGAGATGTATGTGAGTGAGGCTGTCATTTATGGGGTTGCCCATGCCCTCCTTAGCTAGGCTTTGCAGGCTTGCATGTGGATCACAGAAGTGGTGAACTCGTTAAAATCTTTGAAATTGCTGATACTGATGAGTTGAAGGTACGAAATTTGAAAGGGGAGAATGGTTACACCTCCAGTAAAGTTCTTGCTGGAGTCAAGAGGGCGGGGGTAGCTGTGAGGAGGTTACAGCTGGTGCAGTGTATCATGTCACTGTTTGTTTATTTTCTTTTTGAGAGATCTCATGTGGCTTTCCCATAGAAGCAGCTTCACTGTAAGCTATTATGATGTATCAGAAACAAACAAAAAGTCTGCATATCCTTATCTTTGCTTTGATATACATAAAGAGAGAAGGCTTTCCAATGTTACAAAAAACTTACTTTGCCAAGGAGCTGGTGACTTCTTGGTAGGTGGGAAAATATGAAGTTTTAAGAAGGAAAATTGGTTTGGGGTTTCTCTGTTTAGATTGAAAATATATGAAAAAAAAATTGAAGAATTATGCAAATGGATGTAGGGGTCTCCTGAAGTTCATTAAAATTTACTGTATTTCAAAGGAGGTGTTTTTTTTCCCTAGATTTGCATAGGGCCAGAACACAGCATTGCACTATTGAGCTAAAGTTAGCCGTTGGCAGCTGTAATTTTATACTCCTGTGAGCAACTGACCTAAGTTGCAAGAGTACAGGCTCAGTAGTGTAGCCAGGAAAAACAGCTTAATGTCCACAAAACAGCCTAAGAGGATTATGTTATTTATAAAAACTGATCAAAGTAGGCCAGGTACAAAAGAGAAGATATTTTCAATAAGTTTTCTAAGGAAATCTTTGGAATAGACATTTATTTTAATTTCAGGTGTTTTTTAAATTCTTTTTGTGTGTTTGGGTTTTGTTTTCTTTTGTTGGGGTTTTTTGTTGTTGTTCGGTTGGTTTGGGTTTTTGTTGGGTTTTTTTGTGTGCTTGTTTTGTTTCTTTTTTGTTGTGTTTGTTTTTGTGGGGGTTTTTTGTTTGGTTTGTTTGCTTGGTTTTTTTTGAACTAATACTTAAAACTGAGTTTCTGGTAATTATTGAAACTTTTAAATAACCAATTAGCTCTTAAGCTTTACCCTGTAGTCTCCAGGCTGCTACTGAGCTGCTGGGAATCAAAGCAGTCCTGCCAGGGCATCTCATGTAAGGTGAGAAGTGCAGGACTGAATTGTCCAGATCAATCTGGCTTCACTGAATTGTGTCATTTGCAGAGTCTTCATGTTTTGTTAATTCTGTTTGGTGGAAAGAGACTAGTAAGTCAGGTTCCAAAAACTTCTCAGTCTTTGCCTATTCCTAAGTGCTTCAGTGGATGAGGTTTTCCTAGGTGAGTGTTACCCAAGTTCTGCAGACCGTTTATGGAAGTTCAGGTGCTGTTTTTTTTCTTCCATCATAGTTGCCATTAGACATATGGAGCCCTTAGACACTCATTGGAGTAACCCTAGTTCCAGGTAAACTTAGGATCACAGAGATTTTTCTTGTTTCATTAGAGTTGTGAAGAGTCCCTGTGCTGCTGAGCATGCTAGGTCAGCCTTCTTGCCATGTTTTGAGCTGCACTTGAGAAAACAACCTAGTGATGGGATCTCTGAATTCTCTGGAAGGTGTATGTCTGGTGTTCAGAAAAAGAGGTAACCACCAACAGGAATCACTGCAAATACAAGTTGTTCTGTTAGCAGTGCATCTGCTGTGTGCCCTGAATTTTTGGGCTTTGTGGGAATTCCTTTACTGCTAATTTCCAATAAACAGTTATCCATGTCTTTTTCATAGCAGAATAGTTTGCTTTTTGTTGTGTTGTTGCTTGGTTGGTTTTTGGTTGGGTTTTTTTTTATTTGTTTGTTTGTTTGTTTGTGGTTTTTTTGTTTGTTTCAGTTTTTTGTTGTTGTTTCTGAATTACTGCTAGCTGAAAGAGTTATTATCCTGTTAAGACCTTGAGTGAGTGCAGTAATGCCTCAAAATTACTCATATATTCTTTAAACCTGTCTTTAATGCACAGGAATAAGAGGATCAAGTAAATAAGATTAGGGCAATAATCAAAATGATGCAGTAAGAGAAAAAGGGACAAGGAGAAACCATGCTAATAATTTTTTTTATGGGTTTTGAGCAACCAGCATTAGAATAGTAGTCAGGAGGTTGCAACTGGTAGTGAAAGTAAGTTGTTCTGACTGTGATGCTCTGAAAGAACAATTTTTGTACAAATGTAAGGATCCTAGCGCAAAATGAAAATAGCAGAAACTGTGGAAGGACAACCAGAAACTATAATTGTAGCGGCAGTAAAACTTGGAGGGCTTGCCGGTGTTACAATGTAGAGATAAAAAGTACCCATTCTTCTAGGAGCTGCAACCATGAAAGTGAAAGAAATGAAGCAGCATTCTGTGCTTCTGCAGTAGATCAGAATGAAACAAGAAGCCACAAAGTGGATCAAAAGATGACAGGGACCAAAATTGCTTTTGTGAGTAGATAAAATGGATTCTTCTCAGGATACGCCCTGAATCTCCCATCTTCTGTTAGCGCTGCGTGGACATTTTGCTAAAATCTGTGAATTCCCTTTTAAGTCAAGGGAGTGTGAGTCTAGGAAGGTTGGATGATGAAATAGTCTGGATAGTAACTTGTTGATCATGCTTTAGAATCTGATGGTTGGCAAACATGATGTTAAAAACATGGGAAAAATGACTAAAAAAACCCTACTCGAATTACATAACCCATGTACTATATGGTCATATGAGAGTAGTTCAAAGCTATCAGTAGACAGAATGCTATTTATGAAGAGCCTCTATTCAGGGAATCTCTTACAGTGGTGTTTCACTGGAACTTCAAAAAACATTACATATCTGATTAGAAAAATTATTTCCTGGAAGAGTATAGAACATGTTAATTTGACTTGCCACCTCCTACTGCCCATTTTTTTTCCAGACATGTCTAATAAAGGCTTATTTATTTAACAAAAAGCCCAGAATAAGCTTATAATGTATAAGACAGATTTTTGACAAGTTAATTTTTTTTCATGTGTTTACATTTTGTGGGACAAATAAGGGATTCTGTCATGCTGTGAACTAACTGAATTAAGCTGCATCTTAAAGGCAAGGAGACAACACAGATGTCTCTCCCTGCACTCGACAATTTTACTAATGTTTTTATGCCATTCATATAATGATCTGAGGACAGAAATATCTTGGACAAATTACTAGTTGGGAAAGGAAGTGTTTCTAATTAGATGTTTTAGCTCAAGTTTTGAAGAGGTCACAGGGTAAGGGTTCCTTTTTTACTAAGATGCATGTACATGCTTGTATTTCCTTGAGAATGAACATTAATTCTTAACATCAAATTCACTAAGGGCCTTTCTTCTCTGCAGGTAGTGAAGGCAGCCAAGTTATGAATGGTTACACTTTATCAAAAAGTAGGAGCTGTGTGAGAGTGATATGAGTGGAAGAAGGACTGAAGCTTTCTTATTTTGCCAGTCTGGCATTTGCCAGTCAGAAGGCATAATGCTGTGCCTTAAATGAGTCATTTGAACAAATCTTGGACATGTGAGATGTGCTTATACTGTAAGGAAGAAAAAAAAAAGGGGAGGGTGGTGGTGGAAACCCCAACACCTCTCCACTTGTAACATGGATGATAGAAAAATATGCTGACCTTTCAAGTAGGGAAGGCATCACTGAAACTCAGATGTCTCTCATTCACAGAACGCTCATGCAGTTTTCTACTTGCAAAATCAGCTGTTACTGTCCCTTCATTAAAGGGACAAGGATAGAGTCTTTGAGTGGATGTTAGAGTCTCTGATTTGAGATGCAATGTCTTACTAAGATTCTGTCCTGGTTCAATGATGGTCTAGATATGGGAGTTGTAGTGAGAGCTTTTTGAGCTTATGTATGGGAGGTTGGACTGTGATAGTAATTGTCCCTCATCACATTTAAGTTTGCAAAAATATAATGAAGCACAAGTGTAAAATAAATCATGCTCACTTGAATATAGTGACTTTTGTGTTCTGTTTTATTTGGAAAGTGGTTGATCTGTCATTGTTGAGTATTATGATGACATGGAATCTGGGAAGGGATGGGTGAGCTCTACAAACAAAACTGTTGATTATTTCATTTTAAATACTCTATTATTTCATTCACAGTTTGAGCAGTGGTAATAATCGTAGAATCATAGTATGTTTTGGGTTAGAAGGGACCTGAAAGATTGCCTAGTTCCAACCCCCCTGCATGGGCAAAAACCTCTCATGCTTTACTACAGAAAAGTATTAATACATACTCAGAGTATCTTGATGGATGGTTTGTAAATGAAACTGGTGAGACTTTTGTTCTGTAATAAAAGTTTCTACATTCAATATCTTCTTTTTAGAACTTTTGCCAAAATAATCTTCTCTTTTTCTGCTATCTTAGTAAATTGCTTAAATAGAAGACACATGTATATTAGCATTCCAGCTTGAGCTGGGGGCTAACATTGTGGTAGTATTTTTATGGAGATAAAGTAAACTTATTGAAATTTGCTGTACAAATATTCTTCATTGAAATCAAAAGCTGGAAGTTCTGATATCCTTAGTGAGGCTGACTTCAGCAAAGAATTTGATTAATCTTTTTTCTTGCTTTGCTAGAATAACCCCTACGCCTCTAGGAGAGGGGAAAAGCACAGTCACAGTCGGTCTCGTTCAGGCACTTACTGCACACCTTAACATTAATTCCTTTGCTTGTCTGAGACAACCTTCCCAAGGACCTACTTTTGGAGTTAAAGGTACATCATATTTGCAGACTCTCTGATTCTTTTTTTATTATTATTATTCTTAATTCCTTAGTCACATCACTAACTCACTGGATTGTGGGAATGGTAGCATATTGGATTTTTTTTATGAGTATATACCTAATAGATAAAGTTTTCTTGCACACATTATCCCGTGCAAGGTTCATATCTATGTTCATGTATTGAAGTTGTATTGCTAATGAAAATAAAGCCCAAACACAACAAAAGGCATGGGGATGAGTTAGGGAGGAGGAGTTTTGTGCAAGTACACACCGTTCCAGCCGTTCCCCTGCTTTGGGACTCTCTAAAGATGTCTCTAAATGCTACTGTTTAGTTCTTCCTTGCAAAAGAGTCCTGAATTGACTCATATTGATTTGAAATATACAAGCTAAGGAAGTGGCAGTTATGCATATAGTTCAGCTATGTCCACACCATACTTTTGGCAAGGTCTGAATCTCTTCTTTCTGTTCTTCTGAGTTATCCCCCCTAATTGTGATCTGCTGCCCTTTTGCCTAGAAAGAGCCTGAGGGCCAGGTAAGAGCCAGCCAGAATTCAAGCCTGTGTTCAATGCTGATAGGAAGTAATGCAGTCTCTTTTTTTGCCATTTCTCAGCTGAGATTGGTGCCTAACTGGGCAAGCAGTCCCCATCTGCTCTACTTTGCTTTGCTGAAGTTTAAGTTAACAAATTTGATTTCAGCGGGAAGGCTCCTGGGGTTGGTGCCGCCATTTCTCAGCTGAGATTGGTGCCTAACTGGGCAAGCAGTCCCCATCTGCTCTACTTTGCTTTGCTGAAGTTTAAGTTAACAAATTTGATTTCAGCGGGAAGGCTCCTGGTGCTTGGTGCTTCTCAGCCAAGACTGGTGCATGTGAGTGCCTTAATCCCTCCACTCCAATTGTATGTAGGCTGCAGCAAACTCCTTTGCCTGTGCCCTGGGGGCAGTGGAGAAGTAGTGCTCAGGTCAGGGTCTGAAGGTTTTGTTCGGAAGCAGTGCTTGCTCGTGACTGCTGTCTTTCCATCCAACAGCTGCATGTGCATGACTGTCAAAAATGTGGGCAAGAGCAGAGGGCACCCCTTCTCTAGGCAAAGTCTGGGCCAGCCATCATGCTTAGGCTTTCCTTCCAGTTCAAGAATTCCCTTTTTACTGCCTGCTGAAAAAAGATAGCAAGGTTTTAGGAAGTCTTGTTCATTTGGGTGCATCATTGATGCCTAACAGAAATCAATAGGCTGAGAAGTGTGTCATCAGCACTGGTGTTTCAGTATGTTTCACTTTACGTGTTAAAGGTGGATTTATTTATTTTTTTCCTAAATGAGTGTGGGTTTGATATGACCATACACTTTCCTGTACAGGTGGAGCAGCCGGTGGTGGATACGCTCAGGTGATTCCTATGGAAGAGGTAAGACAGCAGGGGGGAGGCAGCAAGTCCCTGTCCCTCTGGGAGGGGTGAGCAGGCCAAGGTGGCCACTGCAGCACTTGGTTGGTGGCAATGACCTGCCTGGAGAATTGAGGTGACCCTTGCCATTGCCTTGTGCCTGCTGTGTGACGTGGAGGGGCTGTGGAATCGGGGTGCAAAAATGTTGCACAGATATTGTGTATGTGTTTGTAACATCTCAGCTGTCATTAAGGTGCTTCCTGAGAAGAAAGCCTGCTTCCCATGTGTAACTTGCAAGACAAAGACATGTCTACTGCTATTTTTTCCCACATGTATTGCAAAAGAGAATGAGAAAGCATTACTTTTCTGGTTGCATATTAAAAAGTGGGGAGTCCCAAGGCTGGTGGGTTGAGGAAATTTCTTTTTCAAATGTAGATTTAATATATTTTTTTAGCACAGGTCACTGGATGTGGCAAAATGGACTTGTTTTTAGCCAGAGTGTTCCTCCTGTGATAGACAGGCTGAAAATATTGTGGAGGGGTGAATATCACAATTTTGCTAGACTAGTGAAAGGAAGATTATTTGGCTCAAATGCAAGAATAAAACAGAGAAATCTTGCATGAAAAATTGCTTTTCACAAGTGTAGGCTGCTGAGGAGCTGCAGGATCCAGGACTCCCCATTGGGATGGCCACGCAGGGCCAGCCCCACTCCCTAGCCAGGAGCAGGAAGGCAGGGACTCTGGGGCAGCCCCAGCCCCAGGCATCTCCCTGGGGTTGGGCAGAGACATGGACCTGGCTGTGCAGAGGCTGTGGCTAGGCAGGGCTGTGGGGAGCTGGAGATGAGCCCTGCTGCAGCATTGCTGGGACAGGGACAGGTGGCCCTGGGGGTCCTTGGACTGAACTAGTGAAGCACCACCTTGAAATTGGACAGCTACTCCAAACAGAGACCTAATGTTACAATTTTGATCCTGTGTAGCATGTATGATCACAGTAAAGGGCTTGTGGCAGTTGCTGTTGGTGCCCCTTTGCAATCGCTGTTCCAGCGTGATTAAAACTGACCTTCTACCTCCTTCTGTCAGAGATATATATAAAAAATGCAACACCTACTTAACACAAGTTCTAATGTAATCTAAACTACTGATTTCAGTTTTTTCCACAAAACTTAGTTGCAAAAATTCTGGATCACCAAAGTGTATACCTGATCAGCTACAGGTTAGCAGAAAGCCATCATACATCTCCAAAGCCAGCATTCAAAATGTGCTTCAGGGAACTGAGCAGAAATCATAGAACGCCAAGCTGGAAGGGACCTCAAGGATCATCTGGTCCAAATTTTCTAAGTAGGAACATGGTTTAGATGAGATGGCCCAGCACTTTGTCAAGCTGAGTCTTAAAAGTGTCCTGTATTGGGAAATCCGCCACTTCCCTGGGTGGAAGATTATTCCAATGTCCAACTGTTCTCATAGTGAAAAATTTTCTTCTGATGTCCAATTGGGATCTCCCCAAGAGTTACTTGCATCCACTACTCCTCGTCTTTTCCATGTGATTCCTTGTGAAGAGGGAGTCTCCATCTTCTTGATAGCCACCCATTCAGTATTGGAACATGGCAAGAAGGTCTCGCCTAAGCCTCCTTTTCTCAAACCCAGTTCTCTCTCTGCATGTCTGATCCAGGTCACATACTGAACATCAACAGTAAACTGATTTATTCCTGATGTGTATTCCTGATGTGGAGCTGTAGCCCTGGGCTTTTCATTCTTGGATCATTTAACAAAGAATAAAGATGTCTGTGGCTCTGTTTGACTAAACTAAGGGTAGTTTACCATGTAGTTAGGGCAAAACAAGTCCTTTGTGTAACTTGGTGTGTTTTCTTCATGGTAATATTTCATTTATGTTGGTAGGTGACTAATAAGAGCTGCAACCTCAAGGAGATAGCAGTGATTGTTTCTGCTCATCTCTCTGAGATAGAGGTTGGGTTAAATGTTTTCTTATTAAAAAAGGTTATTTCCACCTTCTAGTTCAATCTTCACTTGACTGGAGACATTCATGCTATAACTGCTGCAAATAATTTGCTGGCTGCTGCTATTGATGCTAGGATCTTGCATGAAAACACTCAGTCTGATAAGGTGAGAATTATTTTTTAATATCTACATGGCTTTTTTTTCTTTCCAGTTTTTCAATATCACGCATTTCAAAGCAGAATAAGTTTATTAACTTCTAATATTTTCACTATGTGAACAGAAACTGTTACTGTGAAGCTATATTCTGCTGGGAAATTGTGCTTATAGAATTTTTTCTAGCAAACTATTATCATAAGGTACTCTTTAAGATAAGGACCTTGTGCCCAGAACCTTGTCAATGATTTCAGACTGTAGTAAATAATCTAACGAGAAGTGTTATCTCTTGATACAAGTCTTATTCTTTCTAATAATTTGCATACTCCTTTTAAAGTTAAAAGTTACATTTCTGATGTTAAGTTGGATATGATGTACCTTAAGAAGAAGGGACTGTGGAGAAAATCAACTCTTGCCTCCACTGAGCCTATTATGATCTTAACACAAATGCTATCTTGAGTCTTTAAATGGAAAAAATAAAGGAAGTAGACTTCTTTTTTGTTTGTTTGGGTTTTTTTTTTGGCTATAGTGTTACAACTGAGCAGGGTTCTCATAGCCCCTTTATTTGGTACAACACAAAAATGCAGTTAGGCCAGTTTGCAAATGAGAGTTATGGTTTGAATAACTTGGAAAAGGCTTTTTTTTTTTTTTGTGAAATATAGAAGCACAGTAATTTTGGTAATTGGATTTAGACTGTAAAATCGTCATAGAGATTGCTCAGAAGCCTACTGTCTTCTCAGAATTGTTTTTGAAATGGTAACCAGAAGTCCACAACTTAGATGGCTAGGAAATTCTCACTGAAATTAGTCTAAATAAAATAAAGCATTAGCTTTCTAATGTAACTTTTCCTTTCATTAACTTCTCATGTGTTTTTTCTAGGCTTTATATAATAGACTGGTTCCAGTAGTTAATGGCTTGAGAGGATTTTCTGCTATTCAGCTTGCGCGTCTCAGAGTAAGTTGTTAATGTAGTCTCTGCTCAATTGTAGTATCTCTTCATGAAGCATCCTCTCTTACACAACTTATTTTAAATTATTTGATGTATGGGACCGAGTTTGTATAAACTCCCCTCATTAATTTTTAAGTCCAGACTTTTTTCTAAAAGCATCCTCCTTGAAGTAGAAGGAATTGGGTTTGATCGTATTTTCATAATAAACATTTTTGCTATTCTTTTGTCCTGGAATAAACCAATAGTGTTTAAAAATGCTGAGTCTTTCCTAATAAAATATTTGAGTTAGTGCTTTTAAAATACTTTTTCCGTTATGGTAAAGTCACATTTGAAAGCTCACATTCTTCGATTTTAGAGTATCTTCTGGTTTTGAAAGTTTATTACAGCAGATATTTCTGAGATTTTTTTGATGTCTATTTGATGATGTTCTTCCTTCAAGGGGTTGAGGTATGTTTGTATACATAGTATATTTTCACATCCATCTTCTTTCCTGAATGTTTCCAGAGGAGTTTCCTATGCAATTCATGTTTGAATAATATATCTGGATTTGAGGCTGCCATTCTGGTTAATAACTAGAGCAATACAATCCACTAACATCAGAGAAGGAGAATATGAGCCCCTTGAATATGAACCTTAAGGATAGCTTCTGAGATAAGGGATTAGGATTAAGAATGGTGTGGGTCTTTCAAGGATTTTCACAAACTAGAGAAAGCAATTACTTCTATTTTTACCAGTAATTCATAATGTTGACTTTTCTCTTTGGTTTAAATTAGGGGTCACTTCTTTGTAAGGAAGTGATTGCTCCCTTTATGGCCTATGAGTATTTTTCCTTTTTGTTTCATTTCTCCATCTACATGTGCCGCTATTTTAGTTACAAGTGGTTTCCCCTGTTCTTCTTTTTTTTTTTTTTTAAATACTTTTGATCCTGACATGCTTCTTTCCAAAATGCTTGCTGAAAGTGGAGGTGACAAGCCAGAGCAACTGTACCTTCTGAAGAAAAAAAAAAAAAAAAAAAGCCACTTAATTGAATTTCTTTAACTTGCGTTTGTATAGAGGCTGGGAATAAACAAGACTGATCCTGGGACTTTAACAGAAGAGGAGATCAGCAAATTTGTGCGCCTTGATATTGACCCATCTACCATAACATGGCAAAGAGGTATGTGGTCAAAAAGCCCAGCTTCAGCTTGGATTTAATCATAACTTATTTCCTAATTTGCATAATTATACCTGAATCAGAGCTGTTTCTGCTGTCTGACTCTGAAGAACAACCCATTTGTAAGTGGAGGATGTGGCATATAACAAATTTGGGTGCAGTATGTTGCTCTAAACTTGTTCAAATATCTGCAGTAACTCAATAAACTTTGCTGATATTCTGAAAGATAGGTTGCTCTGACAATTTAAGCGCATTCAGTGTCTTTCTCACATTAGATAATATATCATAAAACACATGAAAGTGGCTTTTCTGTACATTTGAAAACCTGATTTGTACTTACTCTACTTGATTTTGATCTCTTACCCTCCCCAGCTCAGCAGCCTGGGTAGCTCAGATACTAAACAGGCCTCAGGGATTATCTGTTTTTCCTGCTTTTAAAGTATCTTGGATTGTTTTCTTTGTTAGGAAGAAGAGGTGAAAGATGTGGTACAATTTGAACTATGCCAAGCAAACCAACACCCACTCTCACACCCTTAGACAAGTCCCCTCTGCATTCTAATGCTGGGTTAAATTTCAGTGTTTAGCTCAACTTCTGTATTTCTCTTTTTCTTTTTTAAGCAAGTAAACTTTGCATGAAGTTTTGCACTATGTTCCATTGGAATTTATTTTCTTTCCAAGTTCTTAAACACTGAGTTTGGTTCTTAGTTCAAAATCGTTGTTAAATGGAATGTACTGTGATACCAGTAGAATAAGTGAACCTGTTGAGAGTCTTGGCCATGCTTACTGTGCCCTTTGTGTGGATGTCATCTCAGACTTGGGGTATTTTTGTCAAGATAATACTGGGGGATGTGGCATAAGATGTTTCTTATTAGTCACACAGTGTGTCTGGAAGAGACCTGTATTAGGATGAAGGAATAATACAAATATTTAGTGTAATGTGACTCATCTTGGGTTTGGGAGGAGGCAACATTTCTCAACAGCTGTTAACCTCAAGTGAGTTATTTAATTAATCTCAAACAATGTTAATGAAACTTGTGTTCCACACAACTCTATGATGTATATATCTTACACATTTCAGAAAAAAAAAATAATTGTTTTAAAGAATGTTCTGGGTAACTTGGAAAATGTTACGTTTGGGACTGTTTCTGCAATCCCTGTGTCTGTGAATGTTGTTATATACCAGGTAATTTGTAGGGCAGAAGAGAAAGCTATAAAATTGTCTTCTTAATTTTAGTCAGGACCTGCTTCATTTGAAGTGTCACAAGCTTAAAGTTTACTGTCATCTTATACTAACTTGAACAGGTACAACATACTGAAAAGAAAGCTTTCCCCTACTTACCCTTCCCCTGGTGTTCAGATCCTGTTTATATCTCTAGAGGATAAGGAAGTAGATATATTAAACCTAACACTTGATTGAACCTTAACTTTCCTGAAACATTTTCTTTGAGTGAGGAAGAGGGAAAATTTGTAGAAGGAAAAAGTGCTTTTCTAGCAAAACTAATTATTTCTTATTTTACTGCTTCTAAGTGCAGAATCTGGAATCTTCCTGGAGAACAAATTCTAACCATGGGGAGAAAGCCAGTGTATCCCAGTGCCCAGAAGGAGCTGTAGTGGTAGTTATAACTTCATGGTAAGGGTGTTTAGGTTACATGATTTCACTAGAAAAGGCCAGATAAAAAGCAGCCAGATAAAAAGCAGAGTGTCCAGGCTAGTGGGAAGGCAAGTTCCTGCTCTCAGCAGTGCAACAGTAAAGACATTTAAATCTGCTTAAGGTTGCTTGTAAGACTAAGCTTCCCAAAAGAAGAAGGGCTAAGTTTGTGTTTGAGAGATTAGCTTGCCGTGTGGCTTCCCAGTGGCAGATGGTACCACAGCTTGGTACAAGGCTACTGCTTCCATGTAGCTACTGCCACAAGGCTTCTGTTCTGCAGTTTCTGCCAGTACTGTTGTATTTTAGAGTATGACTGTATATAAATAGAAACCAAACTGAGTTAGCCAAATCTGTGTTGCACCATCCCTTAAATGGAATTCCTGAGGAAATTAGGGACCTAAGTACCATGTAGTGGGAAGAAGGCATGTATGGTATTTACAACAGCCTCATGAGAAATTGTCAAGAAAGGGAAGTGAGTTTAAATCCTGCTTTCCTGCCAGCTCAGTCACAACTCTAATTTGGGTTTTTTTAGGATTGAATTGCAGTCCCTCTTGTTCTTGGATAATTATGTCATCCTTTTCTGTATAGACAAATTTGTTTATTTCCAAAAGCAGCAGGAAAAGTAATAGGAGGTGGTTTCATTGACATCCAGTACAGACAATTCTGAAGGTTCCTTGATTCTCTACCTCTAGATGAAGAGGGCTCAGTTCTACATCTACCAGAAGAATGACCTGATTTCCAAGCTACAGGCTGAACTGATCAAGAGTACCTTCCATCCTTTATTTTAGGACTGGTGCAAATTGAAACATTTGTTGAGTTGAAGAGCCTGTAAGAAAGAGGGAGCCTATCATTTTTGCATTTTGTAGGGACTGCCATTCCTGGGAAGGAGAGGTCTTGAAGAACAGGCTCATTTTCTAAGAAACAGAAATATTCTCCTCATGTTTCTTCCTAAGAAACATCCTGATCTGTTGTTAGCAAATGAGAGAGCTCTTTGACTATTTTCAGTCTTTCCTTTTGGTTGCTACAAAGGCACATTTGAAGTTGCGCATTGTCAGTGCAGAACTGGAGAACTTGGCTTGCAATGATTGTTAATGAAGTTAGCAATTCTACAGGTTTGGACATGCCCTTGCAATACCAAAAGTGTTTCCAGGTTAGAAATACAATTGTTTAAAATGGAAGTTCTGTTGAATAGCAGATGGTTGGTCTTGGCAGTTGAAAAAAAACTTCCTTTGAATGCTATGTAGCTGAATGTGGAGTTAGTTACTGTGATGTGCAAGAAAGTGAATTGTCTGGAAAACCAATCTGACAACATAATCATCCTTTAAAAGAGAAACAGACCAAGATTCACCTACATCATGCAAGCTTAAAATAAATCTTTAATAGATCAATGATGGAGCAAATGTTTTGAGGTAGGTCTGAGATGCATTTTGTCTACAAAGTTTTTTCTTATGTAGGTAAAATACTAATTTGTATGTTAAAATATTACGAGTCTTTTAGCTTTAGATACAGTTCAAAGACATTGTGTTATTTCAGCCTGTCATCTACTGGTATCAACTACAAGAGAGAAACAAAGTCAGTGCGAATGCTAACATGAGGGAGTGTGGTTGTCTGGTTACACTGTTCAAGTAGCTGAAACTTACATGTGTAACTACAGGTATGCCTGGAAAAACACCTGGGTCCCTGCATCCTTGTTAACATGTTTAACTTTTGCTATTCCTTTATTTCAGTTGTGGATACAAATGACAGATTCCTGCGCAAAATAACAATTGGGCAGGCAAATACAGAGAGAGGATTTGTCCGTCAGGTATGTAAAGGCAGTTAATATATCTCACTCTGGAGACTTTGCAGTTCTTTCAGCATACTTTTTTGAATTGCAGTACTAACATCTGTTGCTGTTGAACAGTATTCTTGCAGTGAAACTGATTGTGTTAATGAGTAAAGGAGTTGAACTTTCAGAAAATGGAAACCAATGCATATTGCACGCTGTGTTGAAAGCACTTGAAAAAAATTGCATACGTTGGATTCACCATTGTCATCCTATGAGTATAAAAGGTGGCCTTATGCTCTCACAAGGTTAATTTGTATGATTTTTCTTACTTTTTAAAAAGTTCATCAAACTATGTAGTATTTATGTATTTTAAGTGTAATTTAAATTTACCATTTAAAAATTTGGGGGGAGGGGTGAGTTGTGTTGTTGGTCCCACTGGTGAGAGTTTTAATTTCCTTACTGTGCATCTCAGCTTTGGGATCTAAACTGTAAGAATTTTGATCACGTGCTTAATTTTTTGTATGTGGGTTTAGAGGGATAGTTCAGAAAGTGAACATGTGTGTACTTTCAGCAGTGTAAAAAGCTAACATAAATTACCCTGTAAAAGCTTCTGGAAGTTTATTAAAAAACTTCTTGATGAATTGAAAGCCAGATTTTTCCAACACTATCTGAACAAGTGTTCTTAGTGTCTTGTGGCTAAATCAATTTCTGAAACTGCAATGTGAAACAGCAATGCCAGATGGAAAAATCTCATTGCAATGATACGGGGACATTCCTAGTTCATTGGCGATGTTGTCATCTTACACTCTGGATCATGAAATTCACGAGGTTCTGACTATTTTGAGGTGAAGTAAATAGCTATTGTGGTAGAGATAGGGCTTTTGCTCATTTTGGAAATCCTGTCTTTAATTTTTCTCTGTAAATTCAGACCTCTTCTAAGCTTTGTGCCTAAATAAACAGACCAAAAAATAGTGCTAATATTTTTGCTCAAATCAGCAGGTAAAACAGTCAATTGAAGAAAAGAACTTGAGAGAGAAATTATAGAATGTTTGGGGTTGGAAGGGACCTTAAAGATCATCTAGTTCCAACCCCACTGCCATGAACAGGGGTATATTCCACTAGAAATGCTTGCCTGTTTTGGTTTTGAACACAAAGTAGATACTTTTCTGTCTATAACTCACAGAAAACTCAGTATTAGTTAATATTAATCGCTGATAATCAGCTGGAGCTACAAAATCTTATATGTAGTGCAAGTTCCTTCAACATTTGAGATGTTTGCTTGTGTTTACATTTATTTTAGTGACCCAATGTGATTATTAGCTTTGAGCCAAGTTCTGCCAACCTTTTTGTTTAGCATTTTACACTGTCACTATGCTGCTGAGTCAAATATGGCTTGTTTTATTAGTTGACATATGGCTGTCAAATGTTGCTCCTCTACTGTTTTGGGTAAAATGACCCTTGATGTATTCAGTGTTGATGTGTTGGACCATTGCATATCCATTAACATTCTAACATGGACTTGGTGACTCAAGAAACAGAGAACAGTTAGGAAAAGTCATCTCAGAGCCTAGCCAGAGATCCAGAGAAAACAGGACTTCATAGTTAACAGATGTATTTTATAAATACTTGGAGCGATGTTCTAGCACTCTTAAAATCAATGACACCTGTGTAAAATGGTAGAACACAGCAGGCACAAAAGTCTCCATTTTAATGAACAGGGATGCTGTGGTTTCTGAAGAGTATTACATGACTGATGCCCTTGATCCTGCAATTGAATCCATGTGAGTGAATCCTTTCATCAATAGAGAACTGTGACTTTACAGCTAAGGCTTCTGTCAGCACTTCATAGGTATACAAAGGTTATTAAAGTTAAAATAGCACCTGCTGCCTCAGTCTTTTGTGCCTGTTTTTTCAATTAAATATTATGTCACTCTTTGAGCATCTACCTGGGATTGGTTTTGCTGACCTTTGGGTTTATATAGTAACAAAAATAATAAAAAAATTATTTTTTGGTCTCCTGATAAACAACCTGATAAAGTTAGACAGCATTCCAGTATACATGTTGGGCATAGATTTCTCAGGCTTATTTTCTGTCCTACATATGCTGCAATGACTTACCAGGGACATTCTGAGCTTCAGAAAAGATAATAGCACCCATGTCATTGAATGCTAACAGTGTTCATCATGTACCTAGCTATTCTGTAGAATATATAGATACATACCCAGCTTATATCTGCTTTGTAAATTCAGCATTTCATTTTAATTCTTCTGCTGAAAATCTCAGGTTAGGGGTGTTTTTTATTCTGTGGCATGTATCTCTCCTTGTCTGTGCCAAATGCAGAAGAGTACTTGGGTGCCTTCAGAAGTTTTGACAAACATGCAGAAACGTAGAGTAATCCTGAATAGTGCTGCTCTGGGCTGTAGTTGTCAAGAGAGAACATAAAGGCAGGAACATAGATTTTTTAAAAAGGCAGATGCTGTTAAAGGACAAGGCAAATGAGTAGGAATGATAAGGTATCTGTTGAACAATTCTCTATGTAGATGCTTCTTAAAAGCAAGCAAAGCCCTCAGTTAGAACAGATTCCTCTAGTATTAGTCAGTATGGGACACATCTGGTAGAGGTCTGACATAAAAATAGTCCTGGGGGATTTTTTAAATAGATAGCAGTAGGATGTCAATGACTAAATTTTTGTATAGACTAAAATTGCTGGAGATTAAGAGATTACTAAGAAGCTATGCTTGTTCACTTCCAACATTGCATTCCATTCACAGAATTCATGAGTGATTTTGCCTTTCTTCTGTGTTTTTGTTCTGACAGCAGGTGACCTGGGCTTTACTAGTAGTAAATTGGTACAAATACTGCCAGTGTACACTGCAAGCTCTTAAAGAAAAGTAGGGACCACAGTTTATGTTGTGCTGAAATATTGTACTATTGCTTTTCCACAAGAGCAATAGAACTGTTGCCACATCTGGTTGTTTGGCATTTTCAAACTTATACATTTATTCATTAAAAAAAAACTAAGAAAGAAAAAAAAGGCACAAAGATATATTTTACATTATCATAGGTCAAGAACAAAACCTAGAAGCAGACGTTAAATTTTGAATTTATTTAGAAAAAGAATGATCAAATGTAACAAGAATGTTTTTGAAACAAGAATAAAAAACTTTTGGAGAACATTACAGAAAACAAAACAAAACAAAAAAACCCCAACAAACCCACAATGCTGTGTTCGTGCCAGTAAAACTCAGAACACATCTGGTGATTTTCTTTTTTGCTGGAGAAAAAATTCTTGATCCTTTAGAGAGCTTCTGCTAAGGATAATGTGAGCCAAGGGGCTAGGCATTCTACAAGACTGGTCCTCAAGTAAATTAAGTGTAACAGAGAACATTAATGAAGGAATATAAACAAAGTGTTTGAAGTTACTCTAGTCTGACTAATCTCAAAAGCTGTGGGTTACAATTTAGGGCTTGTTTGAATTGCAGTGTGAAATGAGTCTTTCCTGAGCCTGTGCCTGGTGATTCCCTCTGAGTATTTGACCTGACTTTGATTTGGTTCATGATTCTCATTTCTGTTTTACAGGCTCAGTTTGACATAGCTGTTGCGAGTGAAATTATGGCCATCCTGGCACTTACCACCAGCCTGCAAGATATGAAGGAGAGGCTAGGGAAAATGGTGGTGGCTAATGACAAAAAAGGAGAACCTGTAACAGCAGAGGATTTGGTATGTGCTGTAGACCTGTGAATAACCTCTGATGCATTTGCCAAGGATTTTGCTTTGAACAGCACAGTCAGATATCAAAGAAAGACCAACTTCTGGGCCAAAACTTGTTTGCAGTGAGAACAAGATGTAGAACTCATTTCTCCAACTCTCTGGTAACATCTGGTTCAGGAAGTGTCTGGTCTGCATAACCTACTTGGATAGTTTTCTGCAATTCTTAAGGCATCAAGTTTGGTGCTGGAGAGAGTCAAAGCACAGGTGCCCATTTGAGAGAGCTTGTAATATTTGCTACTGTATTTGTAAAATGTGCTCAGATGTTACAATGAAAGATACCACATGAATGCTTATACCACTAAATCAGAATGGCAACTAGCTATTCTTAATTCATAGATTGCTGATAGTCCTTAGGAAAGGGTTATCTCTTCACATCATTTAGACTTTTCTTCCTTACCTTCATTAGTTGCTTTCTCATTCCCTATTTCAGCTTCTGGAAAAAGTCAGTATGTTCCTCCTTCATACCAAATTCTTATATAGCCCTTATATCCATGTTGTGAGTCAGTAAACAGTGGCTCGAAGCTCACATGTGTTTGTGTGTGGCAGGTTCTCTTGCAGCCAGAAATTACCAGTTAACACTTGCAATCCAGTTATATGCCAGGAGTAGGTTCACTGTGATTGGCACTAGTTTACTGTAACATTAAATTATTTCAATTCTGGAGCCTCATTGCCAATTTAAGTTCATATATTACAGATTTACAGCATACCCTAAATATAATAAGTATGATAATGCTTTGCTCTTAGGCTTTTTTTTTGTCATCTAAATATATCCTTACAGCAACTGTAATGTACCTGGAAACTGTGCTTTCATGCCACCCTGCTTGCAGTGACTGCCCATATCACACAGACTATGTGTGTTTTTTCCTGTTTGTCCATTTTATGCAGACATCTGCACAAACCTACTGTGTATTTAGAATGAGGAAAGGAATCATCATTCTGCCTTGTCAGCAAAGATAGCAAATTCATGAGCCAGGAATACCCTCACAGCCTTGTTTTGTTCCAGTACAATAAGGAAATGAAAACATAGTATCTAGCTTGCCTGGATTTAAGATTGAAATTAAGTTCCCAAAATTTCTAAGTACCATCATCATCAGAATTCAAGGAAAATCAACTACTCCCAATTATGCAGGAGACATGAAGGACTGCATTTCATATTCTAGCTGTTGAAGTTTTATAGTTCAGTTGCATAACTTTTTATTTGCCAAAGGGAGGGGAGTGGGAAAGGAGTTACCCTGTAATGCATATGCAAAAACTTCAAAGTAATTCAATGTGAGAATTAAAACTGCATTTGAAATACGTTATTTTAATCTTGATGCTACTTTCATATGAAGGTACTTCAGTGTATTAATACTGCAGAATATTTAACCTGTCTTCAACCAATTAATGCTAATCAGATTGATGAATGAAAGCAGTTGCTTTTCCATAGTCTGTTTTATCAATAGTTACTCGGTGGAAAGATAATGTTAGAGCTGAATTTATCAACTGTGCACAAAGAACTTTTAATTTTTTCCACTATGTCCCTAAAATGGAAGTAGTGCTCAGCAAAACGTCTGTTATTAATTCAGTTTTCTTTGGCTTTTTTTTAAACAAACTTCCTCTGCTTAGTGTCTCAATCATTTGATAGTGTCACTTGTGCTGAACATGCTTTTCTAGTTCATCTTTAAAGAAGTCTTCTATATTATACAACAAAAGAAAATGCCCTTCTTGATGCAATCCAGCATCCTGCTGGCTTTCTTTGCTGCTGCATCACACTGAGCTTGTTGAGCTTGTTGTCCACTAGGACCCTCCGATCCCTTTACGCAGAGCTGCTCTCCAGCCAGGTGGATCCCAGTTGTTACACCCTGGGCTGTAGGCATACCACACTTGGCAGGTAGAGCTTTCTGGGCAGGATGGGGCGTGGCTAAGTGTTCAGTAAGGAGTATTTGTGAACTGTATTTTTGTTTTCACAAGGTTTCTATCTTGAGCAAAATTTCAGATGTGTTAAGAGGTTCAATGTGAAGCCATTCTCCTGAATTTTCATCCTTTCAAGTCAGGGTCAAAGAGGAGATAAAGCTTTATAGCTCAGAAAGGAAAGATCTCAAGACAGCTGAATGTAGGAAAAATAATATACATGCTTTCTGAATAACCTTAATCCAAGAATAGTTCCCTCATTTTGACTTTTCATGAGAAGTTCAATTACTTTCACAAAATAAAATCAAGTTTAAAAGCTTGAATCTATCACAGCCCCTTGACATGGTACATTTTAGCCAAAAGAACTGCAATTGCATATAGTTTTATCAAATTTTAAAAGCAGCTTTATCAGGGGAAGTACCACACAACCTGAATAATGGGTGGTGGCCAGTCCTACCTATCATTTAAAAAAAATCCAGGGGTCATGTTTTATATATATTACCTGGATTGTATTTATGGAAATTTAAATGTTTGACAGTTGTCTTTAGTTCATTGGAATCTATATGAACCAAAACCACTAAACTTTTTTCTGTGATTTGTTTCCAAATCTACACAAAATATACTTCACAACAGCACAATTGCTCTGAATTTTTACTTTATATGCAATATATTTATATTAATACAATAGTAAAACCTAAAATACACATTGGCAGATATAAACCAGATGCAGAGGCGGGCTAGGAGTAATAGAAAGAAGATAAATTGAATATTTCATGAATTGAGAAGACTCCTTCCACAAGATTAAATATCTGTCCTCTGTAATGGAATATACAGAAGTCTTTGCCAAAATGTGGTGCTCATTGTACAGTATCTTAAATATTGAATTGCTTTTTGGCTTTTACAGTGTAGTAGAATTTTGATGGACACATGCCATGTCTTTATGTTAAATGAAATGGGTCTGTATGCCCTAGATCAGTATTTCAGCAGCTATGAAAAATATTAAATAAATATGGCATGGTTTTCTAAATAAGACTTATTCTTAGCTTACTTTTTGTCCCATGCTGTTAGATTTCAGTAATTCCAGGACCAAAAAAAATAGCTTCATATTTACTTTTATAAATGATCTGCGAGCTGAATATGTTTTGTTCTCTGATTCTTCAGAAACATTGTGTACATAATTCACTTTTAACCCAAATGGTCTTCTCTGCTTACAGTTCAAGGTTTCATTTTTCACAGAACTGATATTGCAGAAAAATATTATCATTTTGTTAGAGACTATAGTTTCAAATGAAGAGATGTTAAAAGTACAGGGTTTTTCTCTGCCTTTCCGTAACCCTTATTAATTTCACAGTAGTTACTCTCAATCACCTTCTTTTTCATCTAATGCTGGCATTTCCACTCTTGCTAGACTTCAGAGACTGCTTCACAAGAAGTTACTTTGAAAATATTTTGGTTTTCATCTAAGTTTGCCTTTCCTGTGTCATGTGTGTAATTTTGTGCTCTATGATCTTGCTGTCCCAGGGAGCACACCTGCCTCAATGGCTGGTGGATAGATGGAAGGAGCATGATTTTCAGAAATATGTGGGATCAGTTCCAGGAGGGAACCCAGGAGAATTGGGTGTCCATATACATTTGATTTGGAGCACTACTTCTTTCTTCTGACAGTGAGTTAGTGGAAAGCGAATGATCTTTGTGCTCTCACACTCTTAATTGGTGTGTAAGTGCCTAGGCCTCTAATTCTTTGACGAAATATTTATCTACTCTCTCTGAATTGGAAATGGGGATCTGATTCCTTAAATAGCTTTGAAAATCTGGTCCAGGACTTTGAGCTGTGAGAATTGTTTGCTAGCTGCTTGGGGGACTGGGTATGTTAAGGAATGAAAACTTTGTTCTAACAGTCATGTCAGATAGAGATTACAACTTTATTGGTTGTTTAGCCTTTAAGAACTGTTGTTCACACCAAATCTTTTTAAGAACCACACAAGGCAGATAGACATCATGTGTGCCAATTGGAGTCTTTGCCTTTTTTCTCTTTGCTTTCAGCTTCAGGTACAGTGAGTTGTGTCCAGAATACACATCTAATATGGGTGAACTTTCCCAAAAAGTTAAAATACATAGGAAGTATTTGGGGTTTTTGCTTCACCGGATTGGTGAAGAACCATCAGAAAACAAAGGTGACAGGATTTGAGCTATTATTGTTTATGAGGGGGAGGGGCCAAAAATGTGTCCTGAATTAATTTTCTATTTTATTTATCCCCTAAAGCTTTCTTTCCAGTCAACATGGCTTATGTCAGCAATGAATTTTTGAATGCTTACTTTGAATGAGCTGGTGGTCTCATCCAGCATGAAGCAGACCACAGAAACCCCTAATTATACGGCTACAGTTGGCATGAGTTAACACTTGTCAGTCCTTAGGCAGGTTTCCCAAGAAGAGCGTTAGGGCTGATCCATGGCGGCTCAGGTAGTTAACCTTGCCTTTGACCAGCTAGAAGATCTGATGTAAAGTTTGCCATTTGGCTTTTTTCCTCCAGAAAGTTGAATAGCTCTTACAATTGCCTTTTACATGGTAAGATTGTAAACTATCTCAGTGTTCATGTGCTGAAAATTATTAGCAGCTGTTTCTCTTTTAGCGTAATGATTGATAACTTACGTGCTATGATGATGGGAAAACAGACACAGGAAGAAAATGTAAAAATAACCAACCTTTCCCTTCAGATATTTCTGTTACCTATTGCCTCCTAATTGGTGTTTGTACATGGTTCTACTCTCTGTGGAACAGACGACAAACAACAAGCTATTATAGTTTTGATTTGCTATAGTATTTGATTTGTCCTTAGTTGACGAGCGTAATTTCCTTCAGCCGGCGGTGGAAGGAAAAAACTGTGCATCTGATCTGAGAAATTATGTCCTAGCTAGCTGCTCAATTGGTCAAATAGCAGGAAAGAAAACAGGCTTGCAGATATATTCAATAAGCATATTGCCAACTCTTGATAACTTTTTTAAATACTTAAAATTCTATGCTATGATTAACAGGAAAAATAATGTATTTGTTTTGATAAATTAGTGTGATTAAAAACTGGGGTTTAATGAAGAAATTACTAGGATTGAAATTTGTTCCATTTAATTTTAAATCCTTAGAGCTGGGACTGGGTATTTGCTATTCTATTCTATAAGTGCTTCAGATTTGGAAGTGAATCAAATCAGTTATATAAAGCAAGTAGTTATATTGAACAGATTTAAAATTTAATAGCCTAAGAAATATGGCCACTTTAGAAATCCTTTTACAAATTGCTAAAATAAAAGAAATCAAAGGTGATGGCAGTGGCAGTTATTTTACATGGTCCTAAAAAAACCCTCATATATATATATAAGATACTGAAGTTACATTTTATTTTAGAAGCAGAAAATGTTATGGGTTACTAGTGAAATGAACCTTTATTAAACATTGTTGAGATCTGTCCTGCACTTTTAAGTGCTTGACCGAAAACAAGTAGTTTATAGTCTTACTGACTAAAACAATCTGCTGCTAAAAAGAAGCCTTTGGGTGTGAAAAGTAATGATGATTTCATTTCTCTTTTAACATATTTTTCCTTTTCCTTGTATTTAGGCCATCAGTTTTGGGTTGAAACGTGAGTAGTTGGGTATATGTATAAAATAGCACCAAGCTGCTTCTATAGAGGTGATGGAGCCTCTGCCGTTCTGACGGAGAGCTGGCATGCTTGTGTTTTCTTGTGTTTTGATCCTGTCTTCAAAAATTAAAATATTAAGTAACAGAAATCCATTTTTTGCTAATTGAGAAGAGGGAAAGCTATATTGTTTTGCTATCAGTTTCTCATATTATGTCTTTTTGGGTCTACTGGGGTTTGTAGACAGTGGGAGTTTACCAAATGCAAAGGAACATCTTTCCCTTCTGTCTCTTTCCTTCACTCCTCCAAGGAAACACTTGATACACTTTAGTAAAAAGAAGTTTTACTGTTTTGATTTCTATTCTTTTTTTTTTTTTTTTTTTTATCCAAGGCCAGATATTATGCTTCATTTTCCTCTGAAATCTGTGCTTAGATACAATGCTCAGAAAGGTGAAACTTGAATTTGTATAAAATACTGTGCTATGTAATGACAGTGCAATTTTGTCTCTTAGCTGTCATTAGAATACAGGCTACTTGATTTTAAACATTTTACAGCAGTTAGTATTTTTATTTGGTTTTAATGCTCCTTTGCCATACAATAATGTATTAAATTAATTTTTTGTGTTCTCTACTGCATTTTTTTCTATTCATAATCTAGTTCTTTCAAAACAAAACACATACTCTTCTCAAAATCAAAGTAATTTGGGAATAAATTGCTTGTGGTTTCTAGGTAGTACTCTACATATAGTCTGATAGTGATGTGCATGCTCTGTAGCCATTTTTTTCTAAAATGGGTATTAAATTTTAGTTCAGACAAATGTCATGATACTCTTACTTTAAATTCAGTCAGTGTGAAATTTATACTTAATATCCAGCAAAATGTTTAGGGAGGAGTAAGATTTTTTTACAATAAAAATGTAACAATTCACTTAGCTCCTTCTGTCATCTTGTCATTACAATAAGGCACCTCTAACTTTTAATTTTGTGATGTAGTAATTATATACTCCTAGTCAACTCTGTGCCTGATTTCGTCCTGTGTCTATTACATGTATATTTGCATGAGTCTTAAAAAATACCCTTTCTGGTTGTTACTAGATATTGATACATGCTATTGATTCTGTCATTGAAGAAATACACCTGTCATTTCTTTAGGCAGTTTTAGCAAGTTATTGCCTTCTTGCTTTCCCAGGATTCAGTGGCCTCTGCTTCCACTTAGTATTTTGTTGCCATGAGCATCCTCATGCTGATCACTTAATAATTCTGTGCAATCTCCATGAAATAGGCAGAATATTTACCTCCTGCCTTTTATGTGTATTCAGAGCAAAATTGCTATTATTTCTGGCGTGCACTGTAAGTAACAGTTGGTTAGAAGTCTTGAGGTAACATCTAAATAAATACTTTATGCAACACTAACTACTTATCCACTATGGTTTGTGAGCACACTTTATTTTTCTCCTTTATAGAGTAAGGGTTTTTTCCTGTTTTAACTCTGTAAGCTTAAGAGTAATTCAGAAATATTGCACCTTAGAATTGACTTCTTTAAAACATGAACTCTTGTTTTTTAGGGAGTAACAGGGGCTTTGGCAGTTTTGATGAAAGATGCAATTAAGCCTACACTAATGCAGACATTAGAGGTGAGTATGGCTTATGATGCCTGCCCTTTTCTGGGTTTTGAATTCCATATTTTTCTTGTCTTGCTTCTCTCCAGCCACTGCACTTAACTTTAAAGGTTCAGACCTTTTTTTCTAGCAGCTTGAAGGATACAGAATTAGTACAGCCTCACATGGTGACTGGCCAGTCTAGTGTTGCCTTTTCAATAGTAAGCTCACTGATGAGCAATATTCAGGGGGAGAGGGAGGAAGAAAAGCGGGGAAATAATGAAGCTGTTTTGAAAACAAAAGCATTTGGAGAAAAAGTAATGTCTATTATGAAAGTTTGACCATCAAAAGTATCATATGGTGAAAAGCTGAAGAATATAAAAAGATACTAGTGTGGATCCTGGTTAGTAAAATTGTCTCATTTTCTACAGCATTTCAAAGGGATAACTACACTATTGCTTTTGTGCTTAGATGGGGACATCTTCCTATTCTCAGGGAATATTAGAAAAATAGAGCTTAAGTCTATATTATTTTACTATGGCCACCTTAATATTTTCTCCTGCAAAGAACATCCTTTCTTTCACATGGCTGTATGAAGAATATATGTGCATGTTAGAATTAATTATAACATCCAGTAACAGAAACTGGAGGTCACATAGGTCAGAATGTCATGGCCAGAGCTGTGTATGAAATTGCCACTTGGATAACATTGTGTGCCTTAAGCATCAGTGACAAGATAGCTTTGGTTTTGAGTGTTTTAGTCTGCATCACTCTATTTGCACTTTGCATATCTGTTAGAAAATAATGTGGTTTTGTTGTAGTGTTCTAAAAGGCAATTATAAATGTCAGAAGAGTTTCTTTTGATCGATAGGCATTTGGTTCTGGGACTTGCATGCTTTTGTTTTTCTTTTTCTACTGCATTTCTTTATATTTGCATTTCTATGCAATAAAATTCCTGGCCATTATGTGGTATTCTTTTCTAGTCTAATCTGTGGTATGGCTGAAACATCCACCAACTTTCGTCAAACGCTATTGCTTGCTAGGAGTATATTTATTTATTTATTTAGGATATTTATTTCCAAAAATTATTCTTATAAAGTTATTTTAGAACAGCTGACTGAAGCAGCTCAGGAGACTGCTTCATGCTCCACTACTGCTGTTACAGTCTCAAAAATGTTGTTACCCTTTGAATACCTGTTGGTTTGCAGGCTAATGTAAGTCACCAATCCAAGACTGGAAATCTCCAGCTTGCCTAAATCTTCTCCAAGCTAGTGCTGTGCTTGGCTGATGTGTGCCTCTTGGGTTGTGCCATTGTTCATGTGTACAGATGCAATGACCTGCTCTGTTACTGCCCATGCTGTTGTTGCTCTTCTTGAACCTCACATTTGTGTGTCATGTCCCATTTTGTGAATAAATTCCTTTAATTATTTTATTATTATTCATGTTAATAGCTTTAAGAGGTGGTAATTTTAGTAACTTCAGTTTTTCCAATAAAAGAGGGAAGGAAGCAAGGCAGATACTTTGCTGTGCACTCATTAATGTCGCACAGTGATCCACCTGTGAGTTAGAACCCTCCAGCCCGATAGATTTTAAGACAAGCTAATCCTAGTGTACCCTGAGGTGGTGGGTGTAATCATGTCTCTTCTGGTATAGGGAACAACATAGTTCTCATGAATGTGTGAATGACAAGTCTTTCTTCTGCAAACCAGAATTGAGGGGGATACACTTGAAATAATCCTAGTAAGTAGCATCCAAAAGAAGAGGGACCTCTTACGTTTCTGAAGAGGCTACTAATAGTTATTTGGAAACATAATCCTAATCTCTGTGACAAAGACACCCAGTGTCTACAGCACACTGGTGATATAAGAAACAGAATAACGTGATTAAGTAGAACACATATGCAGCTCAGACTGTACCATGAACCTGTCCTGCAAGTAGGAATGAAACTGTTCACCAGAGCAGGTCTTCCAAATTGCTTTAGTATTGGGGAATGGCAAAAAGACTGCCTGAGAAGGTGCAGCAGGAAACCATCTGGGTGCTTTCCAGCTGATACTGATGGTTAATTTGGTATGATTTGTGAGTGAGAGTGCCTGTGGTTAGCAGCAGCTGAAAGGAGACATTGCAGAGATAACTGCACTCCTCTGTGATCTGGCAAAGAGCCTGTATATAGGTATTGTATTAAGCTGTGGAGATCTCAGGTACTGGGTCAAAGGGTGTATGAAGGGGGAGAACAACCTACTTGATAGGCTTGCATGAGCTTTATGTGGGCATCTGCTTGCTCTGGAGAACAGGTGTAGAAGTTCATAAATCAAAAATGACTGAATGCCAGTTCTGTGTGGAACTGAACTGGCAACTTGTGTCAGTGCTTTTTTTCATATGTGAATTGATGTGTGTATTTTAATTTGCTGGCTTATAAGGTGGTTTCTTGGTGGGTTGATTTCCATCACAACCCTGCTATTCTGTCACCAGAAATGCTGCCTCGAGGCATTAGTGATTGATAGTGTTTTATGCAGGAATGACAGTTGGACACTCCACCTACAGTAACTGTAGACTTCAGCAGAACTTCCATCCAATGCTGTAGAATTGAGATGACTTTGCTTGAAATGTATGTAATTGTTTCATAGTGTTTATCCGTGTTTGTCATGACAGATTTGTTCCCTCATGAACTGATCCCTTAATGTACAGCATTTATTTGTACTATGTGTAACAGAGCAGCTGCTCTTTTGGACAACTCTTTGTAGTTGCAGGCTGGCTGCTGGTGGGGTGGATGGCTCGTGTTACGTTTAAAGTGCCACTCACAGTAAAGATGAGGGAAGGATGGTAATGAATATTATAAACGTCCTTCTAGCAGCCAGATAACTTCAAATATTTATTGACACTCCAGTTTTATTTTCTTTTACTAAAACTGGAATGATAAAATTTCCTGTACTTAAAACAGTCAGCAGAAAGCATCCCTGTGACACTGTTTCTTCATATAGTTTATTAAGAGTGTGACAAAAATAAGTGCACTCTGCAGAGTGAGAAGGATGGACTGACACAGAATTACCAAAGCTTGCCCAAGAGGACATTGTCCCTGTTCCAGAGTGTGCCCGAGGCTCCTGAGTTTCTGCCAGTTCAGTACCTAGACTGTATTTTTCTTCCAGAGCTGCTCTTGCAAAAAGGCCATTTGAATATCTTCCCCTTCTCTTCTGGTGGATTTCAGAGCTCCAGGGGAGCATCTGTCCATGCCAGTGATTTAGCAGTGTGTTTGGATTTCAAGTTAGGGGGAGGGGGCCTCTTGGCTACCAACATTCTGGATGCTGGATCCTGCAGTCCAAAGTTCCTTCCTATCCATGGTGTGAAATAACTCTTGGACGCACAATTGCACAGGGAATGCTGTGGAAGACCTTTCTGGCCCCCTCTCTGCATGGCTGCCATGGTATGGGCTGGACTGCCCTCTCACTGGCCATGTTTATGCTTCTGTGTATTGCATCTGCCTGTGTGTGCACTGAGCTCTAATGGCAGCAGCTCTGTAATTGCTTGCCAGAAGAAATTAAGGGCCTGAAAGAGTAAAATTAAACTTAGAAAGTAATTAAATACATATCGGAATAAATCACATGGATTTCAATCCAGTAGCTGAAAACTGCAGCCTTATTTATTTGAATGCTAGGAGGGTAAATTAAAGTGGAAGTAAAATTTAGATTGTTAGAAGTGGTTTGCATTTTATTTGTATAAGCTGTAAGCTCCTTGAGGTAGGAATAATGCTTAATTTTGTGCAGCACCTCCCATTGTATTTATATCGGAATATTATAAAAAGCTTTTAATGAGTATGCGTTTCAAGTTAATGTTTTCATAAATATGTAAAATCTTAATTTATATTGCAGTATGTGGTCATTACCAGATAGAAAAAAAGAATTAGCCCTAAGCAAACTCTATTAAATCAGTGTGTTATGATGATAATAATCTACATAATTCCTCTTGTTACAGGAAATGGTTTCTGATTTGTTTGTTTTTTTTCCTCCCCTTTCTTCTCTAACATGTCTGAAGCAGAGTTGTCTGGGTTGTAGCTTAATTATCTACTTCTTGGAGAATATCCTCTGCTCAGTATGGATGCATGTTCTCCTTTTTCCACTCTTAATCTGAAAAAAACCCCTTGTTTTATTAGAAAAAAACTGAAGTTTAATGTGCCAGTGGCTAAAAAGTTACTTGTGTTTGCTCTGAACAAAACAATTTGTTATGTATAACTACTTATAAAGGAATCAGTAAGAAGAGATGCTTATTGTTGATGTTTTGAATATGATTTATATGCAAAGTTACTGAAACAGGAAAATCTGTTATCTATAATAACAAGTATTTTGTTACTGTAATCCAATTGTTCTGGTGATTTATCGCAAACATGGACTTTTTTTTTTTCTATTTGAGTTGTTTTCCTAAGACACTGGTGGGGAGTGGAACAATCAGCCTTTATTACATGGTCAGTAGTTTCCAATTTGTGGTTTGTGAGGCTGTTTGGATGTGGCCTGCAACTGATCCACAGAACATGGTTGTCCTTAGTTGGAGTTTCTGGTCAAAAATTGAGGAAGATTGCCCAGTAGCTTCTCTGAAATGTTTCCAGTTGGCAGTAGCTCCTAATACAGAATGTGTGAAGAATGTTGATGGAGATAACCTGAAGTTGTCACCTTACCTTTTCTTTAACCAGCTGGGCATTTTTTAAAGGGTTAACAGAACAATGGGGATTGACATCCTTCTGTCTGTGTATTCTGATTTGGAGAACAGATAGCAGTTAGTATGTCTCACCTAATCCTAATCCCTTTCTGTAGCTGCTGATTTTCTAATTTCTCCTTTCCTTGGGATGCCTGCCAAAACTGCAACAGGGAAGCTGAGAACTGTTTGTTATCTGATAATTTTCCCTATACCTAGTTAATTTGCTTAAATTTCCCTGTTCTTTTCTGTTTTAGATCAGTTCCTCCTACAGAGCTGCTTTTCTTGTGCTTTTCTATGGTGTCTACTGTACTGCACCCAGGTTTCTGGGTGCTCAGCCAGCAGCAGTGAATGCTCTTTTTGGTGTGTCAGCAGCCCCGCTGCACCCTAGCCATATCCCTTCCCCTCTCACTCTCCAGCTCCTTACCCATTGACCCTGGACCCTCATTGCTTCTGTTGGCCACTTTGCCTGCCCAGGAATGACAATGACAGTCAAGAAGGAAAACAGGAGCAGTAAGGGATGGGGTAGGGCAGGAGTTCAGCTCTATTTATGTACTGTCTGCAGTGATGTACTTACGTGTCCCAGAATAGCACACCACAGCATTAGGACACTGGAAATATCAAACATTAGTACAAGATTGGCTGAGAAATTAAGTAAATTACCTACAGGTTACCCCGCTGTCTGTTACCTTTCTATGAACAAAGCAGGTTCTGGCACCTAGACCTGTCAGTGACTGGGGCCTCAAGCACCCTAGATGTACCTGACCCTCACAAATTATCTAAGAGTGCTTACTGGTTAGACATGCTTTAGATTTATATATAATTTTGATTAGTTTGTGAGAATTTTTGGCGTATATTCTTACCTATCCATTAAATTAACAATTATTTTTTTTAATCATTCAGGGAACACCTGTGTTTGTTCATGCTGGACCTTTTGCTAACATTGCACATGGAAATTCTTCTGTTTTAGCAGATAAAATTGCCCTTAAATTAGTTGGAGAGAAAGGATTTGTAGGTAAGTAATTATTTTGTTTATTGTATTACGGTTTGTTGGTGAGTTGCAAACAGTGATGTAACTGAATGAATAAAAGAGCAATGAAAGGTAAGAATACTATTTCATTTAATGTTAATATTAATAATAATCACAAGTAATCTTAAAGCAAATGAGTAAAAAGCACAAAGCAGTTCTCCTTTCACCCTCCCCTTTGTCTCAAGCATTCCAGTCGCCATGTGTGAGATTCCACAAGATGGCTGAACCAGTTAAATGACTGTGTTGCTTTGAAAGAAGCATCATGTAGTTCCTCGTGTTAGTATTCATCTGACCTCCCTTGACAAACAGCAGAAACCATTCCTTATTC